ATGAGACCGATAAATGAGGAAAACCTGGTATATGACATTTCCTCACTTCATGCGTGGATTAGGTACTTAGAATGTTTTCTAAAAATTAGTTATCGGTTACAATTGCTAAAGTGGCACGTGGAACGTGCCAGTTACTCGTTAAAGAGCAAAAAACAAGAACTCAGAATGAATTTTGATGTTGTTTGGGGATCATTGTAGACCAGACAAGGCAAGGCTCAGACTTATTTTTCAAAAATTATACAGTTACCGCCGAAATTACTAAATTAGATGAAAAACTCATGTTCAGTTTTTTGATATTTTACAAGTTTTAACTAGTATTAGTATTAGACATGATGATTTTAAAATCTGTTTGAAAGAAACTGCTCGATTATTTGTTTCCCTATATCCTTGGTACAATATGCCCGTAACTATCTAACTCACAGTCCAGTGGCAATCGGACAACTTTCCGAAGAAAGAGGTCCAAGAGGCCCGTAATAATGAGTATCGAAGATACAGGGAACATAAGGCGGGAAAATGCAGCAGGCTTGCGACAAATTTTAATGAATTTCATAATTTGTTACCTTCGTCTGATCCAAAAATCGCAAATTTACGCCTTTCAGAGAAAATTTTCAAATTCTGAAGGAATCAGACAAACCTAACGACTCTGATTAAGCGCTGATTTGAAATTAAACTTGTTATATTATTACTATTATTATTAAATTAAAGTTGGTACTGTTTAGTTTTATTTTGAAACATTTTCTGCTTTTTTTTTCAAATTGGTTCCTACAAAACCTACAGATTTGCCATTATTTCAGAATAAAAAAAACAAGATGACATCCAAAGGCAGATACTCTAATGAATGAATGAATTTTAGATAGCGCATCTTCTATTTTCTAAACAAATGCCTCATAAACACAATGAAGCTTTAAGATGTTTCACCTTTTCACGAAATTCATAAAAAATCCTCATATCGCAGGTACTCTAATTTTACAAATTTAGTATTTTCTCATTAGTTTGGTCTTTGCTTGCTATATTACATGATTTCCGCGCCGTCCGAGTCGCACATCAGCTCAGTAGATTTAATGGGAAAACCCAAAGAATAGCAGGTAGAATCCCACACAGCCTCCGAACTAAATAAGCCCCATCCCACACATAGTGGAATTTCCTAGCGGAAAAATGCGCTTCCGCTTTACTAACCCACATAGCCAACGGAACAAGTTCCACTTCGGCTTTATCCTTCCCACACGGCCATCGAAAATGTCGATAAGTTGGCAAGTTGAGCCACACAAAAACGTGCACGTGTTCGCCTTTTTTTGATTGTTTATCGTGGCGGTAAAGACATTATATGCCGCTGCCGAAGCCGCGGAATTATTAGTTGAAGATATCTCGAGAAGGTTTTGGGTTCATCTTTTCCGTGAAGAGAAGCTTAAGCAATTCTTCCACCATATTCGACGACGTTTTTTACTTACTTGTCCGTAAGATCGTTTGATGGACTTCTGAAGACTGAGGCCTCACGTCTCAAAAAAACACATTCATTGGACTGTTTCTCTAGTCAATAACTGTCGCATTTTTTTTCAAATCATCACCATTTGCCGCGAGTAATGTATGCTTCCATGAAAAATATGAAATGAGAGGTACCCGGCTCACCTCGGATCAATGAGAATTAGTTACAGCGAGTTATCACGTCATCCTCATTCATTATTTTGGTCGGGATATGAAACTGAATGAAGCGGGTCGTTGAAGTGCTGTGCCGCTTATTAGGAAGGAACTACTTTTCCGTTAGCGGACTGTGTGGGATTCTATCTTTTATTCCTTGTGTTTTCGCCATCCGTTAGGACCCTATAAGTCAATTTATGGGTTTCAAAAAGATGTCAGTAGGTAAAACTCAATGGTCATCAGATGAGGGTCGTGGGAATAGACATTCCTCAAGGTTCAATCCTGTTGACGGTTTCTGATATACATAAATTACCTTGATTCCAAGTATTCCAACAGTTTCATGTGCAGCTCATTCTCTGGAGGTCTCACTGGATAAGCTCTAGGCAAACACATCGTAGGGCCGAAAGTTAGCTTCAAACAGGCTTTTGTGGGATCACGAAAAAACTCACATAGTGGCTTTTTCCATAAAAGAACTTGTAACAGCCAACTCCGAGACAGGTATCAAATTTCTGGGTGTTCATCTAGATCCAAAGTTTCACTGGAACTTTTCAATCCAGCGTATTACTTCTATGCTATTCAAGAACTTGTATCTTCTCGAACACTTTTATCTCAGGATTCTCTAAGAACAGCTTACATGGCAGTATACTTACTTTGCGCTCGATGTATATTCTGCGGATCTTAAAATTTGTTCTGAACCACCGAGATCAATATACGAGCCACCAGGCAGTTCACAATACATAAAAGACAACTGGTGCCTATATACTATATACAACGAGTATGTAAAATGATTTAAATGTATGCCACAATGCTTTTTTAGCTTTACAAAATATATATAAATAAGTAAATTTTAATTTGCACAAGTCCCAGTCTATATCTATCTTATAGGACCGTCGCCGTACTCACAGGTCTCTCTTTTTTGCTCAGATCTTTAATAACTTCACCAAATCTTTTTTTCTTGCAGTTAAAACGTTTTCCTGTAGAGTTAACCGCATATTTCTGAAATCGACCCAACACTTTGTAAAAATCGTGTAACACAATACAATAATGTTCCAACCAACTGAAATTTATTTGTAAACATTAGTGACGTCCATTAAAATCAACGACTACTACGTCAGGAACAATAAGGTCTAAATGGCACCCATATTACTACCTATGTTTCTTATGGAGTCATGGATCTGTCCTCTGCGTATCATCAATTTGCACTCTCTCGTTATTAACACAATTTTACCGCTACTTAATCGCGCGTTTCAAATCGCGTCTTTTTTGTGGACACTCAGACGACGTCAAATGGAAGTCGGAAAAAAAGTCCAAACCTCGTAGACGGTCGCCCAAGCAATCTCGCAATTTTATCCCAATTTATCCCCCGATGGCGGCGGGTGGGGGAAGCGAGTGTAACCTCGTAAGCCTTTATTAGGGACTCGGCGAAAGTGGATATCGGAAATGCGGCGGCGCCAAACCGACACCCTTCCCGCTTCTTTTTTTGCGTACGAAATCAAAGTGTCAACAAACAAATGACATTAGAAATCGCGCGCCTGTCTAAAATGAGCAGATTCCGGGTCCTTTTGGGCTGCGGGATCGATAATGTATTCCTTTAGGGCCTGTATTTCGAAGTCAGATAAACTCCGGTTTACTTAAAACAAAATGTGTGGTACAGTCTTTCTCAATCTGCATCGTGTTGACTTTTCCCCTCAATTATGAAAGTCACCTGCTGACGGCATTAAAATTCGAGTCCGATATGGTTTTGGTAACAATAATTCATGTAAATTTAATTTATTAAATATATACAATAAACTATTTGCTAGGAATGTCTATACATCATTACATTTTTATTCTAAATATATAAATCTAATTGATGTGTCGTCATTGAGATTTAGTATAATAGGATTTATGTTGATTCGAATAGAAATGCAAAAACTTGTATAATGCTCTACTGAACTTTTCCGGCTCTCAATTGGAATGTTATTAATTACATTTTTTATCAAATTTATAACACTGGGACTTAGTACAAGTAACATTTTGCCACACAAATGCCTTATGGGGTTAAACAGTCAATGTCATCGTTGAAGACGTAAAACAGTACTCCTGTTTTTAATTAAAATAAATAAGAACTAAAAGTTCAGATTTTCACGAAATTATATATTTTTACATGACAATTGTTTCGACAACGCTGGGTTTTATCAAATTTGATATTGATATAATTGATTGATTGATATAATGTGATTTAACATTTGATAAAGACACGGTGTTGTCGAAACAATTGTCATGTCAAAATATATATTTTAGTTAAAATCTGAACTTTTAGTTGTTATTTATTTTGATAAATGGATTTTCATCCAGTAAAAGCCACCTTAGTACAATGTTTTTTAATTGCACATAAATTTCAAAAGTGGCGCTTTTTCTAACAAATATTCCTGGATTTCAGTTTTTGAATTTGATGAGGCTTGGCGTAGCAGACGGCTGTGGTAGCTTGCGTTATCAATAACAATCAATGATTGCTTTGAAACTAATTTTCAAAAAGTTCGGCACTTGTATTCTCATGATAATCCAAGCTAGAATTCTTAATATTCTTTGCGGACAACAGCAAGCCGTTTGGGACAAATCCATCTTCGGACCCAGCGTGTATTGTAGTGATGCGTTTTTATTTATTTATTTGTTTATTTATTTATATGTGACAGACGCCGCTACCCAATTACAGAATGGCACAATATAGGCTTATACTATCTAACAAATTTGGGAAAGCGAGCAAAAAATCTTTTATCTCTACAATAAAAACAAAGGTTTTGTTTAAATAAATTATAACTGCGAGCTAAAGAATTTTATATACGTTTGTTTTAAATAAAGTAAGGCTTAAACTCAATATATCTATATCTATCCCGTTTATAAAAACACAATTATTTATAAGTTCGAGCACATCTTATTATAGGAGAGTTAGAAAAGTAATTCGACCTAAAAAAAAACATCAAAACAGTTTCTTGGAGTTTCAAGCGGCTTCAAATTGTAAAATATTAAGTTTTCTTCGTACCAGCAAAAGTGTCGATCTCTGTTGTGTCTCAAGTTTAAGTTGTTAAAAAAAATTTTTGTGTGCTTTCTATTTTGATGATATACTTATTACTCTAGTACAGATCTTATCATGCTGTTATACACGATTATTACTGACTGATGCTTGTTGAATCCTTTGGTAGTTCTCAAAATGAAGCCCAGATTTCTCAAATATTTTTTGAGAATAGTTTCACTTTAGTCAAGAACAATTCCCAAGTCGTTTACTTGCTTAACTCTATTTAGCTGTTTAATATTAAGCATTAAGTTAATATCTATAAAATCCTTTTTCCTTGTAAATAGAATATATCGACATTTTTCAAGATTTAAGAATAATCAGTGGTTTCTGCAATAATCAGCAAATCTGTCAAGATCGAACTGAAGCTCTAACGTGAACGAATCTCTTTTTTACTTTTAAATCATCAGCAAAAGAAGCATAAACAGAAACCGGGAAACAAAGACCAACATAGAAAACAAAAATATTAAAGAGTGAAGGACCCAGATGAGATCCCTGAGGGACCCCCCAAGGTAACATTTGAAAAGGTTGAAAAACCGCGATTTTTTCTATGTGTAGGCTGCCCTAGTCTCGCACATCAAGCATAAAATTTTCTTTACTTTCTTGAGAACATTTTGGTGCTGTTTTAAAAACCATCGCGTAAACCTATTGTTCCCAGTCTTAAGGACATAGATGATCAATAATCACCAATTGTCGGCGCATCTATAACGTCAAAACCCCTACCGCCTGGCGAAGCACCGATTGGGTATGTCGAGAAAAGCAATCTAGTCGCTAATAACAATATATTCATCAAAAACAATCGATAACAATCTACCAACTCTGGACGTAAGCCGCGGCAACATTTGGGGCGCTGTACGCTACCGCGTGGTACCGTACGCTCGGCTCCTCTTGAATTCCGGCCAAAACCGGTGCCAACTGGTACTGCAATGTTTGAGGCTGTTCCTGGATTTTGGCGAAAGCCGGAACAGCCTGGACCGGCACCAATCTACTTTGCGTGTGTGAGTACTTGGCGGACGTAGTCAGCGGAGCCGAATACAAGAGGTTTTGACTCTGAGGTACGACTACAAATAATCCTGCCAGGTTTGCTTGTCGCTCCCTGACGTCAGACGTGAGTTTTTCAGTCCTCTGTGGTATCGCCAGGTTTCCTGTTTGTGCGGAAACCGTGGTGATCTCTTCGAAAGCTTCGGTGGTTGTGGTGGGTGGTTCGGTGGTGACCTCTTGAGGTGGCGGGCCATATTCTTGAGGCGGAGGTCCGTACGATGCTGCCGGTACAGGCAGTTGCTGCCTTTGTGATCTTGGAGGTAAGTCGAAGCCAGGTCCGGCTGGTCGGAACCCTCTCGGAGCGTAAGGTTGGGCGACACCTTGGCGGCCGAAGGAGGCTCCTTTAGGTGCGGGCGGTTCGGCGGAGGAGAGGGTGGCGATTACCAAAGTGATAGCTACTGCGTACTGAAACGATGAACGACTTTTGATAGTCACATATGAGAACCAAAACACTTAAAGAAGCAGAGTTCAGAGAGGTGCAGTTGATGCCTCATTTGGGAAGTTATATAAGTTTAGCTAATTAGATTTGGAATGAGGGCACTATTACAGAAGGGCTCGAGAGAGGTTTAAGCATAACGAAGACGGGACACCACTTTAAATATGGATGGTTGTGTGGAAATATTGATGAAAACTGTGGCTAAGTCCAAAATAAGCAAACATTTTTAAGTAACCAAAACATTGGTACAATATTGTAAATAAGTAGGTCCAATAAGGGTATCGAGATACGATATTAGTTAAACAGATGGTCCTAGATATTTAAAACAAAATCGGCCAAGAAAAAATGCTGGAAATTATTTTTTGAAATAATCACCACAGGACGTACTTTCTTCTTGACTTTTAGTTAGTTAGTTTAGTTAGAGTGAGCACTGTTTTAAAACTGAGACAAATTCGAATCTTTTCGTTTATTGCCCTTTACTCTATCTCTGGTGGGTTAGCATTTTCGGAAATAAATGTCGGTAACTCGAAAAAAAAAGCCAGCGCATTTTAATAAATTTGGAGTCATTAAAAATGATTTTTGCCAGCCTATCGCAATCGCCATTTATTGATAAATCGGGCTATGGACTATTGCGATTGTTTACCTAGCAACTAGATGGCGTTTTCTGACATAACCCCAGTGAAACCGCATGTCAGTTAACCTAAAATATTAATAAGAGAAAAAAAGAAATGTACGAATTTTGTTGAGCATTTTCACTTAACAGGTTATTATTAAACTTTAAATATATATAATTTGAAAAATAAAACGCTAAATCATTATTTATCATATCAAAGGCCAGTTTGAAGTTTCAAATACAAAGAATAAGGAATATGGACCGTAAAGCGGTTTTACAAAATTGCTAACCGCATTTTGTAGTGCATACTTCAAATGTTCAACTAATTTGGCTCGGCGTTATTTTCAATGTTTAATACCCTAAACACGTACGTCGATCGTCGTGCACCAATCCCACTGATCAGCATCTGACGGCGATTGTTTTTTCGTCATCGTCACGATTTTAGTGGTCCTTGCGACGCCCGATCACTTTCGATTAAACGATCGCAAAGAGCAAAACTAACGGTCTAGTACGTACCTTCATTTTTTTTCTCGGCTTTCACGGTCCGACGAAAAACTGAATTGATTACCGTCGGTCCCATCCGCGGGTCGTATTTATATTCGAAAAGAAAAAAAGGTTCGGACCGATCGCTACGTGATTTGTTTAACGCCGGTTAATTTAAGTCGACATAATCTTCCTTTAATTGCCTTTTGATATTGAAATGCCGAACGCGGGTTGACAATGGCCCCCATACGCGTTCTGTGTCATGGGCCTGAGCGAGTGTTTCGATTGTGCGTGATCTAGTGATTTCGATCCAAGTTTTAAGGTTCCAGAATCGAAGTAAAAAATGATTTTGACGTCTCTTCGTATTCGTACTCAGAAAGACTCAATTCTAAACTTGATAGAGCTAAAAAGTGTGTTAATTAAGTATATAGCTTATAGAAATGATTGTGTTAAAATTTTATTTTTTTCTAAATATTTTTTTAAATAATGTCCATATTTCGATGCTAATTGGTATTCGGATTTGATTTTAGTATGGCTCTAACTCGTAAAGAGCACCACTTAAGAACGTTACTATCACCGTTTGAAACGTCGTAACTTTTATGTACTCATTGTTTATTATTTGTAATTAAAATTGCTATCTCATTTGTATTAGAGAACATTATTTCAAATATTATTTAGAAAAAACAAAAATTAAAAGTTTACTATCGTATTTTAAAAATGAGACACACCTATACGTATATAAACCAAAAATTAACCAAGAAACAAAGATAAGCTAGATACTTCCAACCATAATTTAAAATATCCTAGTTGGTGATCTTGCGCAATTCCATAAACAAACATTAAACTTGCTCTTCTAACGAACTGCCCGACATACAGCCAATTTAGCTGGTCTAACATTCTCTTTATAGGAGTATATCTATCGCAGTTCAGGATGATTCTCATAACCCTATTTTGTTGTAACTGTAACTTATGTAAATCTTCTTTTGTACAAGATATAAGCAATTAACAAACATATGAAAAATGAAGCAAAATTATACTATTATACACTAATATTCTAGTCCACTACGATAAAAACCGCGATACAAGGTTAAAAAACCCCATTTTCTTACCAATTTTTTTGCATAGGTATTCAACATGATTACTAAAGCATAATTGTGGATCCAAGATCACCCCTACATATTTAATTTCGGAAACAAGCTCAATTTTATTACCCTGTATATCCACAGAATACCCCGACTTATAAAATTTTTGACAGTTAACCTTAGAACGGATAACCATGCACTTGGTTTTGGCGCTATTTAATTTCAATTTATTTTGACACAGCCATTCGTAGAAATACTGCATTTCGGTGTTCAGTTTGGTAGCTATTTCTTTGCAATCGTTTCCAGAGACTGAAATAAGCGTGTCATCAGCAAATAAGTTAACAAAGGAGTTTTTTGAAACCTGATGCACATCATTTATATAAATGATAAATAAAAGCGGGCCCAACACGCTTCCCTGCAGTACCCCCCAACTGCTATCCCTATAACTAGAAACATTATTATTAATTTTAGTCTAGTGAGATCTAACAGATAAAAAGTTCTTTATCTATTCTAGTGCAGAGCCTTTAATGCCATATAAACCTAATTTTGTAATAAGAATGTCCCTGTCAATAGTCTCAAATGCACGTTTAAAATCTACAAAAACACTCAGAATTAGTTTTGATTCATTCATGTCTTTCCGCCACACTGCACACATATATTGCAACGCAGATTCGCACGAGTGTTTGCTCCTGAAACCAGACTGCACTATGATGCTTGTTTTTAGTTTATCAGGCATTTTTTCCGGCACTTAAAGACGCATTCACCAAATATAACAACGGATAACCTTTACACAAAATAAATCCTTGACGAGCTTAATATTTAGAACAGAGTCACTTGTACTTCTATTTTTTAAGTTATTTATAGTTTTTTCAAGCTCCGATATAGTTATTTTTTTAAAGCAAGACAAGCTACAGCTGACCATGTCACACACAGAGTGCCATTGCTTCTTTTCTATACTCTCTACTATTTCATTTAAGCTATCGGCATAAAAGTTATTCATGTTTTCTTCTTCTTTGTCACTGTAATGTCCAAAATCAATATTGGTAAAATCTGCTTTTTTATTTTTATTTCCAACAAATCCTTTTAATGTCTGCCACATTTTGTTTCCATTTCCCTTGCAATCATCATGATAATGAAAATTACCGATAAATTTTTGGTTAGTTTTGGTTAGAGAGGCACATTTTGTTTATACCTATATAAATAGCCTGTTTTGGAAAACGGAGAATAGTATTACAAATGTGAATACTCTATTCGACTCAAAAAAGTGCCCTAATAAAGTTTCCCTTTTCATTAAAGGCAATTTGCAGAAGGATCCAAAATTGAAAAACGCCCTTAATCTTACTTGGTTGTGACGATATCGTTTTTACTGTTAAATATTTCTCAAAATCCGAGCGCATAACATGTAAGTACATTTAGCTACATCTAGTACATATTATGTGTGAATGACGTATTCCTTCCAAAATTCTTCTGCGTTGTGCAGTTTTTGCTGACGATACTGTCGGAGGTTGTCTATTGGTGATTTACTGGGTATTTAATGGCGGATATGGTAAAACGATTTTCTTTTTTCTTTTCGGAAGCCCACCTTCGCTGATAGTCTCAATTTCAGCAATCTCAAAAATCGCATCCGCCGCCTTTTCCTTTTTATACGGAATTCTGTTTCCCTAGCTAATCGATCACCAAGGCAAGTATTTTGAACCATAAAACTGTCATCATCGGATAATCGAGGATCGCCAATAAGTTATTGGGTCGTATGAATAAAAGCGAAGTAGATACTAATACTATAAGGATTAACTTCGAACTTAACGTCGAACTATTTACAGTTAAGCGTGTGGAAATCGCTGTTTAGAAAGAAAATGGCCCAAAGTACAGGTTAGTGGTTGAAATGTAGAGGCATGGGCCGAAAATTACTTTTTTCTCTACGAAAATATCAACGCCGCCTGCGACCCTTCAATTTTAACCGTAATAGGGTGACTATATGATCTAATAGCTATATGACTACGCCGATGGTTGCGTCTATATTTACTCCGGGCCTACCAATTCTACAAAAAATGTTGAGAGGAGCAATTGAATATAGACATGTGCGGTCATTTGAAATCTCGCTTTAAACCAGCCATACCTGTCATGGCCAGTTTAGATCTAGCATCTAAACATCTAAACATGGATAAAAATAATACCATTTTTTTTTGGAATGCTATGAAAAGTACCCCTGCCTATGGAACCCAAGAGAAACAAATTATAGAATAGGATTATAATTATAATTCTATTATTCGAGAAATGTGTCTTTCCGTATCAGTTGAAGAACTTAAATGAAAGATAAAAAATATGCCAGCACTTAAAACACCTGCTCTGGTTAGTTTTCAATCGACTGTGTAAATGGAATCAACTTGCCACATTTCGAAAATCGACCCGTCTCAAATCACATTTACGCATCTCAAGACAGCATCAGCTATTTTTCGTTTATTATGAGTATGACTTGGATTAAAAAATGACACCAGATGCCATCCAGTCTGCAAAGCACAAAACCCCTAAAAGAATTAAACGAAAAAATTTAGATATTAAAAAAGTATTAAAAAAAATAATACTAAAAGAAAAACAAAATAAAAATGTGTTTTGTGCAAAATACAGCACAGACTCTGTAGTTCCCTGTACTTCTATCGGAAAACCATTGTCTACGTAAAATACGTTTTCCCTATTAAACCTAAGAGAAAAAAATTAGTAAAAAATCATCTACCTCATTTTCAGCTAACGGAATATATAGATCATATTTTTTGTGAATATTCCATTCATTTCTAAACAACACCAACCCCAGAATTCTCGATGAAGTCGGTATTAGACTTCGTTAACGTCGAGCAAATTCTAAATTTTATTTTCAAAATCCGAAGTATCTGTCAAAAAAGTCGGTACTTCGAATTATAGTAAATGCTTTAGTCATTTCGTACTTGGTGTACTAATTTGGGGAACGCGTAAAAAGATCTACTTTGAAATGTAGTTCCTTCTTCTTCCTTCACCCATATTTTAATATATTTGCAATGCTAACTGAAATTTAATTCATTACACTATTTTTTATAAATTATTAAATATTTTAAAAAATACATCAAAAATGTTTTCCCCGCTCTCGTCCTTTGGCGAACTTTTATTCTCTTATCCCTCGATTTAGAATATCTATTCGCTTGAAAACACGGGTTAACTAAAAAAGTAGATTTATCTGTTTTTTTTTTGGCCATCGATGGGACGCCACTGCGAGCAGCGGGGTGCGCGAGCGGTATATACAGAAGCATAACGTTGGCGGTATGGGGAGTGGGGGAACGGAGTACGGGCAAAAGCAAATTACTTACACCCAAACGATTCCATTTCAATATCGGGACAAAAGAAAAGGGCTTCCGAGAGAGAGGAGGCTCACACAGTAACATGCATGTATCAGATACGGCTACCGACGTAGATACGATTCGATGTCGGCATTATAACTGCCACAAACAACTAACGGGAAATATTTAGGCCGAGAACCGACAAACCGAGGTATCTCGGACACCTTCCCCAGCTACATAGTAGGATGTTTGATTGATTTGGTATCGTAGACAGATGAAAGTTTTCTTGTCCTATTAATTTCGTTCAGACTTCAGAAGATTAATGGTCTACTATACAAGCGTTAATCGCATTTCTCAAAAAAAAGCATTTCAATATTCTAGTACATGCAGCAAAATATTTATTAGATATTATTTCAGTGTAACGCATCAGAAATTAACAAAACATCTATTATAATATTTCATCTATTTAATATTGATTGATTGTCGAAATTCAGAGCAGTTGCATCCCAAATCTAGATTTACATCACCAAGTAACTTCCAATTAATGACAACCGAACCGGATTTTCCACTCAAACAAAAACTTTTTCAATTTGTTTTACCTCTTTTTTTAGACATATCACAAACTACTAACAATTTTAGCTAGAGGCATTTTTAAGTCATTCGTCATAAATATGTGTTAAGGTATAAATTTTTCAGATCATTTT